AAAAATTTATTGGTATAGTTACAGATGCAGGATCAAATATTAATTTAGCAAGAAAACAAATTTCTCAGAAATATTCACATATTTTAAGTATTAGATGCATTGTATATGCATTTAATCTTATTACAAAAGATTTAATTAAACATCCATTTGCAACTAAAAATATTCAATAGTGTAAAGCTTTGGTTACATATTTCAAAAAAAGTCATTTACTAAATAATCTTTTAGCTACCAAAATTTCTGAAAAAAATCTATTAGGTGGTGGATTAAAAACTTATATTGATACTAGATGGACAACAGTTTATGAAATGCTAAAATCAGTTTATCAATTAGAAACATGTTTAAAAGAGGTAATAAAACTATTAATAATTTTTACTATATATATTTAAATTTAATTAATTTTATAATTTTATTTAGATTGTTAATAAAAATCCTTTAGCAATAACAAATGAAGCTGTTAAAGCAATTATTTGTAAAAAAAAAAGGATTTTTTTATGATGTTCATGATTTAGCTAAAATATTTAAACCTATTAAGGAGGCTATTGTTAAATTAGAAAGTAGAAATGCAACATTAGCAGATTGTTATTTTGCATTAATATCTTTGGGAAATTCAATTTATAAACTTTCTAAAGAAGATCCTAAATCATTTTATAAATTTGCTATTAAAAAATTTAATGAAAGATTTAAAGAATATGATTTTGATGAATATCTTTTAGCATATTTTCTTCATCCAAATTTTAAAGGTAAGTTAATTATTATTTAATTTTAAATTATTTATAATTTTAAAATTTATAAATTATTTAGGTGCAGGTATTCAAAAAAAATAATTTTTAAGAATTGCAACATCAGCAGCAAATTTTTGGCAACAAATGATAAAAATTCCCGAAATTGCTTCACAGTTAAAAAAAACACAACCATTCTAAACAACAATCAGGTGATATAATTGTTTCACAATTTAGAGAATTTTATTTACAAAAAAGTCCATTTAATGCAGCTTTTTCATCTGAAGTTGATATAGCTTTAAGTTGGTGGAAAACATGTATAACAACACCACCATATTTACAATTACTTGGAATTAAACTTTTTTCAATTACTTCACATGTAGCAGGTTGTGAAAGAATTTGGTCTATTTGTGGATGGATGACAGGAAAAAAAAGAGCAAATTTATCTGTTGAAAATTTAGAATCATTAGTAAAAATTCATTCTTATTATATTACTAATAGAAAATCTGAATTAAATTTATATAGTCAA